ACCAACGCCCTTTCACTATAGGTTTGAGTATATAAGTGGCGATTATACAGCCTATACAGACTCATTTGCCATCCTGTAGTCAACCTGTTTTGCCATGTTCTGTACACACTCTGACTTTGTTTGTGTCACATTCGTGTCACATTTGTTTTAATGACTTGTTCATTCCACTGCTCTTCTGGTTCTTTATTGATGAGGTTCAGGACTTCAAAGTGATTCCTGATGTTCCTCTTGAAAATGGTGGATATACTGTATGTTCAAGATCATGTTGAGGAAGGTGATGGGCTTTCTTCTTTAGCTTAACTTGGAACTTGCACATGAGTAGCTTGTGTTCTGTACCTAGCCCTGACTTTGATACTATAGTTGAGTTCCTCCACCTCCTTTTAGTATTAATATAATCAATTTGATTTCTGTATACGGCATCCAGTGATGTCAGTCTATGCAGGTGTCATTTTGATAGTTTGAAGACAGTATAAGCAGTGAAGAAATAATTGGAATGCAAAGCATCAGTCTGTCTCCTGCTTTGTTTCAATTCCCAAACTATACAATTCAACCTCAGTTTCATCTTTAATGTTTTCAACTTTAGCATTCCAGTCTTCAATCATAAGGACAACATCTTGCTTGAATGCTGTCCGGGTTTAATGCAGAAATCAAATCCAGAAAGCACACACTGATTCAGCAGGATTCATTAACTTCTTTATATATATATAATGTGATATGAGTAAATGTACAATACCAATAGTAGATTCTTCCAACGTGGTATTAATTATAAGCAAAACACAAGCAGAGAATAGTTTCAGTTTCAACAGGCAGACAAGAAGAGACTAGTTTTCAGCTTCAGAGCTCAGAGCACAGAGCAAAGTAAGCCGCGCCCAGACTCCCCCTTCAAGTTTCAGTTTCTAATTCAGCTCCCATTGGCTGATCTGTTGTCATGCTATTCATTGGCTGACCTTATTATCTCTGCCAGTTCATGAATATTCTGACAAATGCTTTGTTGATTTCAAAATCAACACAATCATAATACTCATCAGCTTGGTCTTCTTCTGCTTCAGTAGTTGGAGCATAAACCATGGATGATCATCATATTAAAGGGTCAGGTCCATGAAGTCTAGTTGATATTATTTGGTCATTGATTTCATTGTAGCCAAGTACTGTTCCTGCTACATTCTTCCCAAGTATAGAAACAAGTGCCATTCCTTTTTGGGTTTTATGTTGTGAATAGTAAACAGTACAAACTTCTGACTGAAAGTGTCCAGTTTCAATCTACCTTGCTTTGCCACTGCTTAGAGAGTTAATCTCTAATCATTTCACATCATCTTCCATGGTGTTGAGCTTTCCTATGTTCATCTTCTCATGTTCCTGGTTCTCATTGTAAATTCTGTCTTTGCAGTTTTGCATTTTCTTGTTCTATATGGCAATATCGGCAACTAGATATTCTGAAGGCTGTAATCCTGGAATGCTGAAGGCCATCCCAACTTAGGAGTCATCATCCAATACTATATCATCAATCATTTCAAATTTTCTATCTGTGTGATTTTCTTGGTAAATATATAGGCGTGATTTACTACTGCTTTTTTCCTACACAGTATGAATTGATGCCAATGCACTAAAGTGATCATATGCCTCCAGCATCTTTTATATCATTGCTGCCCAATATAGGTGCCTGCTTGCTTTAACTGGGCAGTTGGGATGGCTTCCACAACTTGGATCACTGTGCTGGGAATCTTGGCACACACTTCCAATATTTTTTGTATATCCCTCCCAGGAACATCTCCTTTCTCCTGCCACAATGAGTTAGCACAACAAGATTTGTTGTGAAGTTGGGGAATGCTAAGTGTTAGGTAATTCTAATAGGAAATGTATGCAATAATAGTCCAGGAGTATAAATAAGCTATTCACAATCTCAGTCCCCTGGAGTTAAAATCATTACCTTATTCAATTTATCACTTCAATTGACTAGCTAGAAAAATGTGCATACTACTCTAATTCTGCCCTTTCAGAAGGAGGAAGAGGAAATGGTGGCAACATGCAGAACATGCATTCTCTTTAATGTTCAGGGGTACAGTTCTGTAATCCTACAATTCTATAATGTTTAGATATGTTACGGAAGCACTTCATTCTATTTTTCCATTCGGCGTATAGTTTTTGACTTTATGCTGTGGTTGGATTTTTTTTACTGTGTGGCCAATTTGATTATATTTGGAATGCTGAAAAGAATTACTTGGTCACAAATGAGCAAGCACATATTGCCTGCTATTCATAAACAAAGGGCTGAACCTAGTCTTTGTAACAAGAAGGCTAGTGTTTGAAAACCATAGCCTGTAGGCAATTTTTAAGGTCCCCACAGTGCCCCTTAGTATTTGACTGTTGTATTGCCCTAGGCTGCCTAATCCTGTGCTATTACAGCAACTAAAATAGATCCTTGCTATGGAGAAATCGATCAATCACTTGCCCTAAGAAGCAACATTGTGTCTTTTTGTACCGGTGCAATGTCATTTGAAATTTTGTAGACTGATGCTTTAAGAATTGCAAAGCCCGTAGGATCAACTAATCAAAACTGAATCTCAGCAGATGTAATAGGACTACATCCCACACCATTCCTTCTCCTGATTGCACTGACTTGAGATGAAGTATGGTGTATTGATGCATCTAGAGAGCCCCAGGTTAGGGTTAGCAGATGCTTTATGGAAAAGCAGTTATAGAATACAGTTCGGCAGACCTTTTACTATTTTTATACTTGAATGCAAGAGAGAGTGTTTGTTCCGTGGCCAGCTCATTGTTACATTCCGTGGTGCTGCCTTTTGATCTTTGTCTCAGCTTCTCTGTGCAGTAGCAGCATACAAACACAAGACCACAGCATAAATGTATTTCTCCTTCTTGAATGTGCTACTTCTTTTTGGCAATCAGAACTAATGGTTGCTTTGAATCAAACTGTCTCACTTCCTTTATACAGTATATGAATTCCTGAAGCAATCCAGATTGCAAACTTCCTGGGGCATTTTTCATCAGTAAACTCTGCCAGATCAGATCAGCTGCTTTGAAAATGGGATTCTTGTATTTTGCAGTTTCGTTTAAATAAAATTAACCTGCACCTTACTGTAGATCCAATCTTGCTTTGTGTTAAGTTGCTGTGGAAATAACTGTGGAAATCAAAGCTCATTTGTATTTCTGATATTTCTAGGAGCATTGTGGTAGGAAACCTCTGTTATTTATTCACTGTACAGTGGCATTTATTTATTGGGATTGTATTGCTTACCCTGAAGGAGGCAACCCGGCGGATATGTGTTTGTGAATGTGTTTTACTTGTTTAGGAGAGTGGGATTCAATTTGCACTCCAGTGGAAAAACCATGTGAACTGAAATGTGATATAAAGTATACCTAAGTAGTAAGATATTGAATGTTAGTCATGAAGGCAGAATAATTGGTGCTTCAGGAAGTAAGTGTATGGGGGGGGGGGGAGAGAAAGGGGGGAGAGAGAGAGAGAGATTGATTTCTGGAGTATATTCTGAAGACTTGAAAACTTTTATTATTCTTTATAGCAGTATTATGCAGTTTTGGAAGATAGTAAAAGACTTTCTTGATCTTTGAATCATATGGTATCAGAACAAGGAAATAAATGGGAGAGGACAAAAATTGGATTTAAATTGATGAACTTAAAATTAAATATTTGGGGATGTATATTGTACAAGACATTCAAAGACAATCTAGATTTCAAGTTGGGCACTTCTGGCATATAATATTGGTGAATACATTAGATTTGCTTATGATCTGTCCTGGAAATAGAACACATGTAACCTTTTTCTACACAGTAATGGCTATTTGTTAGCCCTTTGAGGTAATCCAGATAAAAAGTACCAAGATCCAGTTTGGTCTAGGGCAGGGGTGTCAAACTCAAGCCAGGGGTCAGATCTGGCCCGCTGTGCTGCCCTGGAAACAGCGAAGGATCAGCCCATGGTGCCTCTGCCAGTGAAAACGGAGGTTGGGAGGGCTGCATATGGCCCTCCCAGGCCACATTTTTGGCTGTGACGACCTCCTGCAGCCCTCTGCCAGAGAAAATGGAGCTCCAACTCTTACAACTGTTAGCTAAAGGTTATGTAGGCCTGGAATTATGAGAATTAAAGTCCATTATAATAGGAGGACATCAGGTTGAGTGAAGCTATTCTGGACAGTATTGCATCTGAAATTCTTCAGATGTTGCCATATAAATCCGTATAAATACTTTACCCCCATGGCCAAAATAATAATAATCCATTGACATATGCCCTAAAAGCTGACAGGACAATTGTTTATGCTGGTCAGAGATGGTTATGCTGGAAACTGGCCTCTATTTAAAAGTTTCTTATCAATATTGTTTCTTTGCTGTTGAGATAAATGATGATTGAGTATATGTGTAATATCCTGTCATGGGATAATTCTCATGGTCGCTATGATAGGAATGGGGCATGGTTCTATTCTGAGAAGAGTACAATATTACTTTCTGTTCCCTGAGTGTTCACTTTCTGGAAAACTGCAGTTCACAAGGTCATCAGCTGGCTGGTTTTTAACTTCCTCCCTGCATGTCATTTGGTGTTTCTTCACTGAGTGATAAACCTTTTGATTTTCCATATTGAAAACCAAACAAAACTCTGATGATACTTATGTGTAAAGGTCATTATCCTTTGAGACTTGCCAGTATTTAAATCATATTCTTTCTTACATTGCAGTTTTATTATTTTATTTGCAAAAGCTCAGTGGCTAGCAGTTTTTTTGTTATGGCTTCACATAAGCTAGGAAGGAGCTAATTTGATATGTTTGGGGTAAAAATAATGAATACGAAGGGAACTACAGTTTTTTTTTACAGTTCTTGTAGATTGTTTGTGTATTCATGTCTTGATTACAGAATGATATTTTACCAACATTGTTCCTCCCTTCCCTGATAACTGCATCAACTGTATTTGAAAACTTCAGTGTGTCAAATAATACACTGGGAGAAAAGTCATATTATGGTTTTGTTTCTCCTCTAGGAAGGATCAGAATGTTCTTTCTCCGGTCAATTGCTGGAATCTCCTCTTAAATCAGGTGAAGAGAGAGAGCAGGGACCACACTACTTTGAGTGACATCTATCTGAACAATATAATCCCTCGGTTTGTTCAAGTCAGTGAAGACTCTGGACGACTTTTCAAAAAGGTAACACTTTTATTGTGATATGCACGTCTTTATGGCTCCAGACATAGTTGTAGCAAATGTAGATGGGCACCTGGCCACTATTGTTTCTTGCCTAGTTGTGTTAATGCATAACTTGGTTCAAAAGGCAGCTGCCTGGCTGCTGATCGGAGCATGCAGGTTGGAACATGTCACTCTGATGTCATGTTATTTTCATTTAGCTGCCAATTTGCTTCTGGCTCAATTTATTGTGTTGATTTGAAGAATGTTAAACTCATAATGTGGCAGGATTAGATATTTTAAAAGTTACTATCTTTTAACATGGAGTCTGCCCTTCTTTTTCTCTATCTGTATAACCAGGGGAATGTCTTTGGAAGTCTTTTGCATCCTGGTATCAAGGTTGTGGAATAACTTCCTAGAGAAGGTCCATTGGCTCTTTCTATGCTTGCTATTCAGTGGTTGGTGGAAACATATTTTTTTCAGAGAAGCATTAGAAGGATATTTTCACTGTTCTGAGCTAATTATTAGTAGTCTGAGCTATTTATAATTGTTCCAAGGAACAGATAAAATTTTGAGCATGTTGTTGATGATTTAGCAAGTTGCACTGCTTGTTTTCTTTTAATGAGACTTTTCATTCTCTCTTTATTCTTTTATGCCTTAATTTCATTTTTTATTTAATAAAAACAGATAAATGAAGAATTGAACATACTTGTGTTCAGATCTGAAGTAACCTTGTTTATGTATAAGCAAAACAGTTCATTTTTGCTATAATCAGCAGTAGCCTTAACAAATGTAGGGATAGCAACAACATCTGGCACAGAGAGTGCTTTTCAAAGAATCTATTTAGGAGAATAAGATGCTATTTTAAAATCTGATTCTACTAGGCATTGAGAGAAGATCCAAAGGAGGCTGAAATCTAATATGTTTGCTTTTAAGAATAAGTCACTTTGCTTATAAGTAAATATGCAGTAACTGATGGTTGGATTTTTTTTAAAAAAAATCTTTACTAAAATTGTCAGTTTTTCTGGGCTCAGCTGGCCAGTGTCAGAGTTCAGTAAAACCCAGAGGATCATAGGACCTTAAATTGTTAATCTGTAGTAGCGCCTGCCCTCTGGAATGAAGTCACTTCTCCAGATCCGGATGGTTCTTGTTTGGAAGAGTTGTGAATGCCTAGCTCTTCACCCAGGCCTTGGGAGAAGGAGACCTCTCACTTCATCATGTTTGTTATCTTATATTTTATATTTTATCTATTTTGTTTGGTATTTGTGAGCCTCCCAGAATCTTTGAGAGTCAAGTGGCATATAAGTTTAATAAATTAAATTAAATTAAAATGATCTGTTGAACTACGGTAGAGAAAGCTACTCTTGGGCTCATGTTTCTGTTATTTTTAAAAAGTGCATCATGATAGCAATTGCCTAATTTAGTGCCTCTCAACATAATTTAGAATTTTCTCAGAAAGGAAAATGAGTATAGCTCTGCTAGAGAAAGAGAGAGAGAGAGACAGAGACAGAGACAGAGAGGGAGGGAGGGAGGGAAGGAAGGAAGGAAGGAAGGAAGGAAGGAAGGAAAGAAAGAAAGAAAGAAAGAAAGAAAGAAAGAAAGAAAGAAAGAAAGAAAGAAAGAAAGAAAGAAAGAAAGAAAGAAAGAAAGAAAGAAAAGTATATAGTAGGGTGGCTGGTAACCTAAAATGAAATTGCTATAAAAACATAAAAGTACAGTAACTTATCATGGGGATTTAAAATAGGTTTGCTACCTTCATTAAATTTTAGAATAGCTACACTGTAATTTTAAATATAAGTATAAGTATTCCATTATTTATTTTCTACCCAAATAATAAATTTTCTTTCTCTCTTCCCTCTCCTTGCTCAAATGTGCCTAGGCAGGAGCTGTTACTTGTCAGGAAACAAAAAGCATGATTTTAGTATCTAAGTAACAACCCTGCCAACTTGGTCAAATGCCAAGTCAGTTTCATATATTAACTCGCTTTTGGCTTGTTGTGTGTCACTAGTCTATAGCTCTTTGTATCTGTCCCTGCTGGGGAATCTTTCTTCAAGTGACATGTGATATGTGAAATGGAAATACTATGTGACTGTACCCAGAACCTCTCTTGATTGTCTTCTTCGCTGGAAACCTCCTTTAGTGTTACGATCAAACTGAAAAGTGTGAACTAGCACAAGCAACTGATAAAGGCTGAGTATCAAAGCTCATAAGTGGCAGATTTGTTAACAAGCAAGTAGCTAAAATGTTTAACTACAAACCAAATCATAAAATGAAGCAACACTAGAGATCCTGGAGACCCAGGTGTTATGTAGGAAACCTGACTGGGTGATTTTGACCTCATTTTCTCTCAGCCCGAGACTGGAAAGTTGAAAAGCGTCTATTTACTAATCTCACTGGAACAGCATAGTAGGTTACGATCCATAAGCTTTAGTGAAATAATCTTCATCCTGCATTGGATTGATTTGGGAAGATAATAGTGATAACAAACATTACCTGTGTAAAAATTAGATGAAAGCTCTTTGAAGCAACTCTGTCTACCTATATCATATCTAGTTGATATATAATTCTTTTACAAGTGATTCAACAATTGAGAAGATTTGAGTTTCATCAGTTTATTTGCTTTTTGCTAATAATTTTCATTTAAAACATATTACCAGTATAATTTTATAAAATAAGAAATTTGTTGTTGCAGTGAAAATTGTTGAAATTTTCCTTGGAGTTTGGGCTGCAAATTAACATTGGTTACTTGTGTAAGAATAAATTAGCACTTACCAATCAAATAATAACTTTTTTCAACACTGTAATCATCTGTACTTTAATTTGATGAATACAGACATGCAAGAATATATGGAAGCAGTTCTTGGCATACGTGGGGATTTTGTTCTAATGTAACACCCAGAATAAAGAAACCATGAATAATGAGTTATTGGTTCTTTAAAAATTGGGATGGGAAGGTTCATTCAGGTCAGTTGCAAGGCTCTGTGTATGATGGGCAGGATCAAGAGGAAGAACTGTAACCAAAGAAATTATCTGATAAAAGACAAGTGAGGCTAATGCAAAAACATAATTTGAGTAACTATCTCAGACACAGACCTACCTAGTTCTCATAATGATAAAGGTAGGGAAGGGGTTTGGGGGGAGGTTATTTGAAGGACTGTCTTTTTCCCAATTACATCTACTCAACCCACCAGACCAAGAGGTAGGTATGCTAAAGATCCCCTCTTTTTAAGGAAGTCCATTTAGCAAAACCAGGAGGAAGAAGCTTCTCTAGGGTGGCTCCTTTTTAGTGGAACATCATTCCCACAGAGATAAGATTGGTCCCCACTTTGTGTTTTGGACAAAACAAGGCAACGCTGCCAAGAAAACAGCTTGAATACAATTACCAGAAACTGAGCTTGACTCTAGGGTGTCTTTAGATCTTCTATGCATGAAGTCCTGCTCTGCTGAATGAAATATGCAATTGATCATTAATTCGGAGAAGTATGATCATAGAAGCCCAGACCAGCACAATACCACTGAGAAAGAAAAACAAGAAATCCAAGAAGAAACCAGCATGGCTGCACAAAGATCTCTGGCAAACTGAAAGAAAAAAAGGACAAGTACAAAAAATGGAAAGAAGGACATACAACTAAGGCAGAATATCAGCAGATAGCCAGAATCTGCAAAGACGAAGTCAGGATAGCAAAGGCTCAGAACGAACGAAGACTTTCAACAAAAGTCAAAGATAATAAAAAAAGTTTCTTCCAACATATAAATAACAAGAAAAAAAAATCAAGGAAACAGTCGGTCCACTAAAGAGAGAAGATGGCAAGGAAGTAACAGGCAACAGAGAGAAAGCAGAACTGCTTAACTCATTCTTTGCATCCGTCTTCATGCAAAAAGAAACTATAGCTCAACCCACCAAAAACATAACTGTAAAAGACAGATCAGAAATAAAAGTTAAAATAAGCAAAAAAAATAGTAAGAGACCACCTGTCTGATCTTGATAAAAACAAATCACCGGGGCCTGATGGATTATATCCCAGAGTTTTAAAGGAGCTGGCAGAGGTCATCTCAGAACCACTGCACCATATCTTTCAAAAATCCTGGAGCACCGGGGAACTACCAGAGGACTGGAAAAGAGCTGATATGATTCCCATATTTAAAAAAGGGGGAAAAAGCAGACTCAGGAAACTATAGACCAATCAGCCTAACATCAATACCCGGGAAGATACTGGAAAAGATAATAAAAAAACAGATCTGCCAACATCTAGAAACAAGCACTCAGCACGGGTTTGTTAAGAACAGATCATGCCAAACCAATCTTATTTCATTCTTCAACACAGTGACTAAATTAGTAGACCAGCAAAATACTGTGGACATAATATATTTAGATTTCACAAGGCATTCAACAAAGTAGACCACAACCTACTTCTTAGTAAGCTAGAAAAAAGTGGAATAGATAGCACCACCACAAGATGGACTTGCAACTGGCTGACAAACCATACTCAACGAGATGGGTCTAAGTCTACATGGAGGGAAGTAAGCAGTGGGGTGCCACAAGGTTCCGTCTTAGGCACAGTACTCTTCAATATCTTCATTAATGACTTAGATGAGGGAATAGAAGGGGAACTTACCAAATTTGCAGATGATACTAAGCTGGCAGGAATAGCTAACACCCAAGAAGATAGGCTCAAGATCTAAATGGATCTTGACAGACTAGAACACTGGGCCATATTTAACAAAATGAAATTCAATGTAGAGAAAAGTAAAGTCCTACACTTAGGCAAGAAAAACCAAAAGTACACATATAGACTGGGTGAAACCAGGCTCAATAGCAGTAACTGTGAGAGGGATCTTGGAGTCTTAGTGGACAACCAGCTAAATATGAGTCAGCAGTGTGCAGCAGCAGCCAAAAAAGCTAATGCAATCCTAAATTGTATTAACAGAGGGATACAATCAAGATCAAGGGAAGTACTAATACCACTCTATAAAGCCTTAGTAAGACCATACCTAGAGTACTGCATCCAGTTTTGTTCACCACA